CTTCAAATTTCAAATAATTAATTTTGTTCTCACCCTTCTCTCCTGAGAAATCTCCAGTATTAACCTCCCCAGGGACACCTCAGGAGTCTGGTTGGGAAAGGAGCCACAATGCACATTTAGCATATTTTTATGATTAGCAAAGAATGGTTCTAAATCAGACCCAGTCCTTTGTGCCTATCATTAGAAGAAAAAAAAAGTAGGGTTACTAAAAAATAACCAGTTTAATGGAGATTTGAGTGTCAAAAACCAGTAGTGACTAGTGTTTTATGGTGACTATAAGACACCCTAAACTAATCCTGGAAATACTAGAGCCTTTCAACTCCACCAGGTCAAAGCAAGCTTTGTAAAATCTAATCTAAAACAAAACGTGACAGAACCATTCTCAGTTTGCATTTGGTCTAAAACTGCAGAAATGAAACATACTCAACCCTGTTCACTGGAGAAATAGTTCACGTTAGTTCCAGAGATCAAATAAGATTCATTTTCCTACTAGGTGTAATTTGCCACTACAGAACAAGAAACATCTACTTCTGGGAACAGCAACACATGTCTGGTTGAGGAACAAAAGCACCTGCCAAAACCACTGTGGTAAGGGGCAGAGGGTGGGTTCAACAAACTCATAGTTTGTGGGCTCCTAAATAAAGTAAACAGTTAGGAAACCACTAAATGGAGTCACAGATTCGTATTCTGAAGAACCCCGGGTTGATGAGTTAAAGATACCTGCATCAAGAGTTCCCACTGCCAAGACTCAGGCCCCCGGCAGCAGCCTCCCTTGCCCAGTCAGTGCAATAGACTCCTGCTTGGTCTCCTCCTGGCCCTCTCTTCAGTCTTAACATGGCTCCTGCTGATCCTTCATAAAGTGAGGCCTTTAGTTTCAGCCTGCCCAGGCTGCCTAACACAATACTAGAGACTGAGGAACTTAAACAAAATTTATTCTTCCCAGTTCTGGAGGTTGGGAAGACTGAGTTAGGGTGCCAGCATGATTGGGCTCTGGTGAGGGCTCTCTTCTTGGCTTGCAGACAGCTGTCTTCTCATGTGGCAGCACAAGCAAGCTCTGATCTCTCCTCCTCTTCTCATAAGGACACTAATTCTATCATGGGGTCTTATGATTATCTCTCAAAGTCTGTACCTAAAAATACTATTAAACTGGGGAACAAAGATTCAATAGGCAACAGCAGCTCAGGAGGCTGAGGTAGGAGGATTGAAGCCAGCTTCAACAACTCAGCGAGACCCTGTCTCTAAATAAAATATTTTTTAAAAGGGCTGGGGATGTGGCTCAGTAGTTAAGCACCCTTGGGTTCAATCCCTGGTAAAAAAAAAAAAAAAAAAAAAGATTCAATATGTGAATTGTGTGGGGACACAAACATATAAACACTCAGTCTTTAACACCGAGGAATATCACTCCTCTGCTCATATTCCTCCAATGGCTGAAAAAAAGATGTCCTTACACTGGCCAACAGGCCCTATGGTGGTGGTTTCCATGGGAAGGGCATAGTCCAATAGGGAATGCTTAGGAAATTTGTAAGGGCATTTCTTGATGGCCACAGGGACTGGAGATGACACAGGTCCTAAGTGTGGGGACCAGGGAGGCTACATAGTCCTGATGATCTAAGATTAAGCTGCATCTGCACACTGCTCTCATGTTTTCCCAGACACTCACACGGGGCCAAAAACCTTTACTAATTATTCAAGCCTGCAATCTGCTTTACACATAAGCACAAAAGTAATTTTGGCATGATTCCATACACTAAATTTTCTCAAATGGTAACTACTATATGTCAGGTAAGACTACACTTCCTTATATGGAACATTTCCAAGAAGTTTACCACCTGGGAAAGCAGTCTCCACAGGTGTGGTGACAGCCTTGCTGCATTAGATCCATCTGCACCGACAGACACATCATTCTCTAACAGGCGGACAGCAGTGTAGGCTCAGCATTATGTGCTGAATTCTGCATACGTGATTAAAAATTACTTTTCTAATATCTTAGTTTTAGATTACCAGTGAGTAACACATTTCTTTGTGAAATGTGTGTATGTAGGTCACTGTCTATAAATTTTGTTTCAAGGGAGAATGGGCCACTCTTTCCCTGATCGGCCCCCATAACCTCTCAGCATGGCTCATCTCCTACTCCACTCCAGCCATTCCGACTTCAGTGCTTCTCAGCCAAGGACATTCCTGCTCCTACCTGCTATGCCTTTCCCCAAAAACATGCCCTTGTCTCCTTGAGGTCTTGCTTAAAAGATACCTCCTCAGTGGGGTCTTCCCTGTTTAAAATTGCTGTCCTCTCACCTGGTCCCAATGTGGCACTACCCATTCTGCTTCTCTGCTCTGTTTTTTTTCTCCACAGTTCTTTTCACCATGAATTTTTTTCCTGTTTCTCCACTAGAATGAAAACTTTTGTTATTATTATGGTTTTTTTCTTCTTTTTTTGCTTATTTTGTTTCCTTACAGAATCATCCTTAGGAACTACAGCAGCATCTGGATCCCTTCATAATCCATGCATACATTAATGATTTAAAAATGCTAGTCTTAAAACTTTAGTTATAACCCCAAAATTAAAATTAAATTGCCAACTCAAATTATCAATGCATTAGCACCTTTAATCTTTGTAGAGAAATAAAAATTGAGGCTCCTGGTAAAAAAGGGTTGAACTTAACTTTAAAAGGCCAGTCTAGGGCTGGGGATGTGGCTCAAGTGGTAGCGCGCTCGCCTGGCATGCGTGAGGCCCGGGTTCGATCCTCAGCACCACATACAAACAAAGATGTCGTGTCCGCCGAAAACTAAGAAAAATAAATATTTTAAAAATTCTCTCTCTCTCTCTCTCTCTCTCTCTCTCTCTCTCTCTCTCTCTCTCTCTCTCCTTCTCTCTCTCTCTCTCAAAAAAAAAAATCTTTAAAAAAATAAAAATAAAAGGCCAGCCTATTCTTATCAAAGCAACGAGACCGAGAACATAATGAATACTACTTGAAACTGTTAGACCAACAGGATTCCCTAAGTGTCTTTTAACTCCTCTCCTTCTCCCCCACCATCAGTTGCTGAATTCTACCTCTCACCTTTCCCATCCCTTCTCTTCCCTCTACCCCTTTTCAGGTCACCTCCTATCTCTAGTCACCCTCCACACACTGTTGCTGGATTCATTTGAAAGCAGAGCATCAGCTGAGTCACCTGCTTAAGCACATTAATGGTTCCCAGCTTCCTGTTGAGTTAGTAAGGCTTTATATACCACATAACTCCCCTCCCCTCCACTCTAATGTGTCCCTAAAGTCCTGCTGCATGGGGCCCATCCTTGCATCCAAACCTGCAGCCTCCTGTTCTCTTTCCCAGACCTCTCTCCCAACTGAAACTCAACTTAGCCCCATGGCTCACCTCCAACACCACAGATTCACACTGCCTCTCCTGCGGCAGATGGTGCAGGCTCCCAGCACATTACCAGTACCTCTCCTGCACACATAGAGAACTTGGCTCTGTGTGGAAGCTCTCTGTATTTGACTTTTCTCACCATCAGACTACTGGGTACCTTGAAGATAAGGTTTCTGTTTTTCATCTTCATATCTATACAGCATCTTTCCCAGTTTAGGTTCTTTAAATACATGTTAAATGGAGTAAAAAAGAGGTGAGTTCTTTCAGCTCTAAGTTACAGGAGAGAACAAATTGACTTGTATGTATGACTAAGTAACAGATAAGACAATTTTGCTGGATACAGCTGAAGCTACTTAAAGACTTAGAGAAGATCAATTTAAAACTGCATATGCAGAGAAAAGCAGAGCAGAAGGCAGCAGCTTGGGGAAAGGTGCCCTGCCTGGAAACACTGGAAATCGAGGCAGGGTCCTAACATTCAACAGCCAACATGTTTCTCCTAGTCCTTTGTGACTAACTGATTTTCACCTTTGTACAAAATAGGAAATTCTGAAATTTAAAGATTTCTGCTTTCCTTTTAATGCATTACAAGTCTTAACCATGAAGAACAGATAGTACAGATGAAATTCTTGGAACCTGAAATGAAAAGTCAGCATTACAGTCTTCTTGTGGTYACTCACTCCTGAGACAGCTAGTTCTTTTGGGGGCTTAAAGTTCTTGCTGATACAATCAGGGCCCAATCAGGTGAGGCAGGATGCCTGTGGTACCCAGGATGGGCACAAGGTTTGCTACTGAATTGACAAAATGATGTGACCTTTTGACACATGCCAAATAATTTTTCATCTAGACTACTATTTCAAAAGCTTTCCTCAACAAAGGAACACTACTGGCTGTGCTCATGAAAATAACGAGCCATAAAGTAGTGCCACAAAAAAACATGCTGGTGAGACAAACTATAGCCAAATGAGAATTACTACCAGACAAGCAGAAATAACACTGAAAGTCMCAAATCCTGAGATTTGTATGGCTTTATCTGGAAAGATTACCTTTGAAATCAAACACAATTAATTTCCCAGCAGTAGGGCTCCACTCTGCTAACTAGCATCAGGAAGATAAGATCATAAGATAGACATAGGAGAGGTTAAACAAAAACAAGCCCAGTCTTTTGCTCCCCTCACCACAACAACCCAATAAAGTGGTTAGCTTGGATGAATGTCAAATCTTATAGCCCTCAGTTATTTCAGACTATAAAAACAAATGAGTAATTTGAGGAGCTGAGAAGACATCTTTGTGTAATTATGATAACAAGAGTCTAACCATCAGGACCTAACATATCTAATGCAGCATAAAGACTAACTACTAGAGCTATTAATAGAAAAACTTAGAGCTATTTAAAGTCTGAACAGAAGCAAAGAAGCAAAAAAGATAAGACCCGCTTCTTCAACTGATTCACTTAGTGGATAATCAATTCAGGCTACAGACACATGGTTTGAGCAGAATTCATTTCCCTCCCTTTATTCTATTGTCCTTTCTTATTTTATTAAATAACATATAACTGTTTTCTCTCTTTCTTTGGAATATGTTTACTTGGAAGCAGCWAAGCAAATGTCCAAGGTGCCCAAGGACCAAATCGAAATTACCTTCTTTTAAAGTCCACTTGATGGAGCCTGTCCTCTTGCTGACAGCATGCAAGCTTCCATCCAGCGTTGACACAAACAATAAGGTTTCAGGCAGTGTCACTGTGCTGGTACTTCCAAAAATCTGCAATGGGATGTAGAAGATTCTCCATGTCAATATGATTCTTTGCCTTGGGATGTACAATCCCAGACCCCTTCCCCGAGTTATCCCTCATGAAATCCTCCATCTCACAGATGGAAAAACTAAGGTTGGAATGGCCTGCGTTCCCATCAAGAGCACATGTCTAGACAAGAGCTGAATCAGGACTGGGACCAGGTCACCTATCCTATCTCACTGTCAATCCTACTTGCAGAGAAAGCGGTTTATGACCTAACATGACAAGGACAAAAATTCCGAAACAATCTGCTGGCAGCGCCCACTGACAGGGAGAGGGACAGTATGCTCAGCTTTCTGACTTCCCTCCGGGACCAGTTGCCTATTTTACTCTCTAAAACCTGGGCATTTCATAAGACTCCATGAATTAAAAAAAAGAATAAAAATAAACATACACATACACACCACATACGCATACACTTATGAATAAAAGCGTGACCTCAAACTTCAAACTGTTCCTCACAAGCAAAATACAATTAAATTAGAATGTACCTTTTTCTGCTAAATGTTATTTAAAAAATTCAAAATACTTTAAAAAAAAATCCAAAGTCTATGAAATTATCTTTCTGATCCACTGCTAGTCATAATAAAAATTACAAATTAGTAAATAATCTTTCTAGGAAATACAAAAGTATTCATACTTCTGGATCTTGTAATATTTCTAGAAATAAAGAAATAATTTCAGATATGCAAAAGCTCTGGGCACAATGATATTCATTACATCCTATTTACGTATAACAAAAAAAAAAAACCCCAGGAAGAACAAAATTTCTAGTATCTAAAAGGCTAAAATAAATAAGGATACATAAACTGAATAAAATGTTACATAAGCATTAACACAGAACTTTGAAAAATCTACAGTACAGAAAAATTCTTATACATGTTATCAGTAAAAATTTTAGAATCCAAAGTGGTCATAATTATACTGGACAGATTTTTGTCTGCCTGGCTTTGCTAGGAACTGGACCCTCACCCATGGTATCCACAGGTGCAGTCATGTGTGCATGCTAGCAAGATTTCCTAGGGACCCACTTAGCAATGTAACCCTTGTAATAAGATTTTCCCTTCCGTTGTRACTATACTATTCCACAAATTAGCTGGTTCCTGTGAGGGGGTCTTGAATCAAAAATAGGACAAAGCAATTTGTTTATACTGAAACCATTTGAATTTTGTCATAAATGCTATTTTTAAAAAATTGGACTATGGCTGACTTTTAGCATTAAACACAAAAGTTATGGTGGGTTGCTTGTGCATGAGAGCCTGATTCCAGAATGCCTTATCTCTCTCATTAAGAACCAGGATGAAGCCTAGTTAATCCTTTAAAAATTTAGGCCCTGATGGCACTCTCCAGAGTAGGCTGAGTTGGGGGGTCAAACACTCCAATCTTTGAATTCCTTTTCCATGGGGGAGACCCACTAGTGAAGGGGGGATGGGGTGTTAGAACTGCTGCCAGAACCTTGCTCTTTCCATCTATCTCTTGGAAGTGCCTGGAGGGGGGAAAGGTTCAGCCTTTTGCTTAATCCCGGGCCACGCCCACTCCCTGGAGGAGCAGGAACAACAGCAAACTTTACTGCTGCCTGCTGGGTCCATTCTCTGTGCAAGGTCTAGAGCCTCAGGAAGAGGAGTCTGCTTTTAATTCTATCTGTGTAACCAGGAAACTAGTCTCAGATCTGAAATGGATGGGAAAACAGGAATCTCAAAGGTAATGTCTGCCCTATCTGAGGATCCAAAGAACACTGTGTTAGGAATGGTTAAAATCACTTTAGCCCAGAAGGTAATAAGCCACATCTGGACCTGACATGAGGAAGCTGCATGGTCCAGAGCACCAGGCTGTTGCTAAATGAGATAGCGCTATCTCCCAGAGAAGAGAGTGTGTTTGCAGCTTGCTGTTGGATGTACAGATCAGCTTAGCAGGAGCAATTCCAAGGCTGAATAAATGACAAGGTAAATGTATGCACACCTGGGGGCCAAGATGTGGACCCTTCCACCTACTGGTCAAATAGTGACCACAGGAATAACCATTTGTATAACAAGTCTTGGAATCTAAGAATTGAGTTGGAATCTCTGGGTGGCTGAAGTAGAAAGAAAACTTGGGAGAGTACTATGAACACGTTCTCTGCCATGTGGTAAAAGCTGGATGATAGGAAGAGAAACAAAAGGAAGGCTAAGGAGAAACATGGCTCACAGATTGAGATAGAATGCCTGACTACTCTTCCCTGGGATTCAGAGACACCCCAGTCCTAAGAGTAAATTTCCCTCTTTGCTTAGGCTTGTTGGAATCAGGCTTCTGTCACCTGCAACTGAAATAGTCCATGCCTCGGACACTCCTATTTTTAAAAATACAAACATAAAAAAAGATGAAGAAAATATTGCACAATTACAGCAATAGTACTTTTTCTTCTCTGACTTTTCAATAATATGATGCCATTTACATTGAATCTTTTATGAAGCAAAAAGGAGATGTACAAATTAGGAGGTGACAGAAAAGCTACAATTTGAAGAAGCTTCAGCAAGCACCTGAGTTCTAGATGAAGTGCTTTCTATCTCAGGATATTAGGCAACTTGACCACCCTCGATCATCAATACTAACCAGGAAGGGACCAAAACTTGGAAACACAGAGGTCTCCTAATCAGATCATATACATCTAAGAGCAAGAGTTTGTTGTTACTATTAAAACTTACAGTTTAACAATAATAAACTAAATGTTCCCGAATACATCTTTTCACATAATTAATATTTAAAAGGGCCAATATTCACTAAAACATATCAATGTTACTTCGCTATGAGTGAAGACAAAAGCCATCTGCTTTGTCTGAGCATATTAGAAACCACAGGAAGAAAAACTGTCTATGGTTGGCTGGTGAATCGAAATATAATACTAATCACACAACTAATGTAGTCTTCTAAAAGTCTCGAAAACACAAGGGTTAGAGAAAAGTTGAATTTAGCAACTGAGAGCTCTGATAGTTACTCACAATGTCCACAGTAATCTCATAACTGGAAGGTTCTTCTCGTTTAAAGTTTTCAACATTTCAAAGCAGGATGCCTGGGAGCCACTCTCCAAAGGCAAGTAAAAATTACACATTTTCTGGCTCTTCCTCCCACAGCATTTTTTGAAGCATGAAAATGCCTGCTTTCAAATATAGTTGCTATAACTAAAGAATTAAATATGCTTCTAGATGCCTTTTGTGATTCTGAACACAACTTAGAACTACTTGTACCTGAACATTGAAAAACACTGCTTCACGATAATAAACTTGTCCATTACCTTTGCCCAGCCGGTTCAGTCTTCAGTGCTCTTTTCTCTAGAACGGATGAAATAGCAACAGGCCCTACGGCTATACATGCTAGTTTCCAGAGAGCCTGAAAATAGAAAGAAAAGGCCGATTCTACAGATCCGTTTCACACTGACTATCTGGAATATGACTCGTGTTTAAAAGTAGTAGAATATATACACCTAGCTTTGACAGTGACTTTTAGGAAGTACTCAATAGTATGTAGTCTAGTCTACCTTAAAACTAAACATCCATTAGCTAATTGGTATAGATATCARGCTCTGTTTACATAGTCCTTCTCATACAAGGTGACTAGAGATCATTCTGGAAAGGCTGAGCTTGAGGACTGAGAAGCTCGGCTACTGGAGGCACATGATTCTTGGGAAAGAGCTCCTGGTAAAACTAGCAGATTTCACTTAAAGGGATTGAGTGACAGAAGGGTACTTTCTGCAGCTCTGCTTAGCAAGGATTTCAACAAGGCCCCTCGCCTCCACATAAACAAAAGCAAAGCCTAATGTTCTGATTATAAAACAATTTCCCCCCAAAGTCCAGCAGCTTCAATGAGGCACCACTTCCTTGGTACCACAGAGATACAAAAGTAACTCTCTACTGCCAATGCAGAGATAAGTGAAAGGTAAGTCACCAACAATTTACTTTTTCTCCATATTCTGAACTCAGCTCACTTTTAGTTCCTTTTGCATTAATTATTTTATGCTTCAATAAGGAAAAACTATTTTCTAAAATGATCCCTGAGCCAGGTACCGTGAGTGGTGCATGCCTGTAATCCCAGGAAGCTGGTGAAGGAGGATTGTAAATTCAAAGCTAGCCTCAGCAACTTAATGAGACCCTGTCTCAAAATAAAAAATAAAAAGAGCTGAGAATGTGACTTAGTGGTACAGTGCCCCTGAATTCAATCCCCCAGGTCCAAAACAAACAAACAAAATCTAAAAAATAAAATGCCCTCTGAAATAATTTTGTTTAGAAAAAATTTTCAGTGAAGAGAATTACGGACCCAAGGGACAGGTAAGTGTTTAAACAGCATGAAAACAAATGGAATAGCCTCTAACAAAAACCTACCAATTTCTAAGCCAATATCTGGGACCATTCAGGCAAGAAAGTGGTTCACCAGTGGCTGAAGAACAGCCAGCAAAGACCCATTGGCTTGGCTTTGAAGGTCATGCCTATTACTAAAGTTGCCACTTTCCCTCACCCCCCCCACTCCAATGAGCACAGCAGGAGGCACTGAGGAAGCTCCTCTGAGATTCAGAACACAGGACTGCTAAAGGTTTCTCATCCGGGTTTCAGAAATGCTGCACTTTCTAAAGAAATAAAATTCAGAAAGTGCAGACACATTTTAAAAACTAGTTTCTAGGTTAGGTGACTACCTAATAACAAAGATCAGAAATGAGGTTAATGCAACCATCTCTAAATCAGTGGGAAGAGGCAGTTTCATGCACACACATGCCTCATACCTGTAGTTTTACAAAGCGATTTATACTCCATGAGGATTGTAATCTCTGTCCCATTTACAAAACTGGAGCATAATAACAGGACTATAATCTCTGTTCCACTTCCAAAACACCTTCAAAAAAAAGATATACACACATATACGCAGAAGCCCTACGACTGTTCTCAGGCAGCAATGCCAATTGATGAAATCTAAATGTCCATCTCTAAGAACTAAATTCATATGGTTCTATCATGGTGCTGGTTTAGTGGGGTGAGTAGAGTTAAAACAAAATTTTTCTTCTATGAATCTTCTCCCCTTCTCACTTCCATCACTATAGACTATAGTATTTATAAAGTTAGAATATAATAATCTGGTTAATAACAATTATTTTTTATTCTTTTAGGAGTATCATATCAACTGCTAGGATTTGTTCAGAGTCTGATTTTCCCTGGTGTGTTGTTTGTGCTGTTGTTATTAACTAATATTCCTGCTATATTGCATAATCCTAACTTTCATTTTATTTAAAGTTAAGAAAACATTCCTTCAAATTAAAAATACCAATAGTTGTATAATGCTAGCAAGGCATGTGTCTCCAATGGGATATTATACAATACCATGTGTACTTAGATTCCTGGAACCCACACCTGCCATCAACAACCAGGCTGCCTCCTGCAGTGAAGAGGCTCCTTGCCAGGACTCACATCTACTGGATGGCTGGTCTCTGAGGTAAAGCCAAGGCAGACTGACTTAAGGATTGATTCACTTGGGGTGGCCAGTCAATATACATCACAGCATTACAGATTAGACTTGAAATAGGCAAGTGAGGGAAGCATTACAAAAGAAAGACTTCTAAAGTATTTTTGTTTTGCTACATAGTAAAGGCACATGAAATCTTGAGAACAATTAAAGCTGTGTGTTGCCAAATGCAAAATAATAAATTTCAAGTAAAATTAGAATGTGCTAAAGAATCAGAGCTTATAATTATTAACTATCAATAATGYTTGAAGTTGGGAAAGGTATTCTCCAAAGGGAGTCATACTTATGGCCAAAGGACCTAAAAACGGAGACAAGACAAGACTGCAAGTGCCCATCTGTAGACACAGCAAGGGTGGATGGTTCTGATGGAGAACAAAGCAGAGGCTGGTAACAGGTAGTGGCAAGTAGACTAAATTATTCAGCTAGCTCTAAATGGTTGAAGGCCACAGGATGGATCAGCTGATTTTAAGAAATATCAGAAAGATGCTTTCTAGTGTGCAATAACAGGATTGCAGTCTTGCAAGTCCTCTTAAAAAAAAAATATATATATATATACACACACACACACACAAAAAAAAAAAAAAAAAAAAAAAAAAACCACCTTGGGCAGTAATGTCAATCCAGTAGGAAGTACTTCAAAATAGTGTTTTATAACAAAGACTCTTGGCAGGCATTATGTGATATTTAAAAAAAGGAATATCTGGGTCTACCATTCTATTTGTAACAACATTGTCTACTTCAGACTATAATCGCAAAGCCAGACTATTGCTGATTCTGGTTGCTCTACAAAAGTACCCAGCAGAGTACTGTCATTCTAATGCCATTCAATCCCATGGTAGGAGACTGGGTCTGATGAGGGCCAAAAAACTATTAAGAATTCACCAAAGCACCAGGTGAAATCACCACCAATAAGTACGTAGTGCACAGACCCATGACATGCAGCTCTGTTAGTGGTAAAGAAAGCCCACATGACCCACAGGAGTGAACTCTCAGTAAAAGGCCTACCTTTGAAGGTATCCCTTTTTTTTTTCTTTTTCACTTAGTGAGGTGGCTCAGTATGTTGCCCTAGACTGGTCTTTAACTCTAGGGTGCAAGTGACTCTCCTGCCTCAGCCTCCCAAGTGCTGGAACTATAGGCATGTGCTACAGCCCTGGTTTTTAAAGTATTTTAAGTAAAGGCCTGATTAGACAGATAAAAAATTTTCTTTATTCTAATCAAGCCCTGGTCCCCAAACCCCATCTCATTTATACATCTGATTGAAAAGCAAAATACTCATCTCTACATATGGAGACTTCTATAAAGCTACCTGTGCACAGTGATATGGAAATCTCACAGCTTTCAATCTCCTATCTACTGAAATGGAATAAAGACTCAGAACAGAAATAAAACATAGGTGATGGTAAGAGACTCTTTTACTTTAATTATAGTTTTAAGGATTCCAGACCACTCCTAAATCATTCCAAATTCTGTTATACTTTGTTTACCTATGTTCAGGTCAGCAATAATCCATCAGCCATACAGTTCCTTCTAACCAGTCTATCGGCTGTTATATTTCCTGATACTATGTCAATAAAGGTAACCATGACATTTGTTTTGGATGGGAGTCAAGTGTCTATCTGGGATGCAGTAAAGGGCAAGGCCTAAACGAACAGTGCTGTGTGGTTTCTAAACTAAGCAGCAGGGAGAGTTAAATTAGTATTTGTGGTAATTCTGGGGTGTGGTGTAATTAACCACTACCCAAGACAGTTAGAATTCTTTGGCTCAGGCTACTCCTCCTCTTTAATGGAACTGATAAAAGGTACTTCAYAAGTCCAATTTATTCCTGAGCATAAAGGTATGATAATTTCACAACAGGTTAATGTATTTCCCCCAAAACCRGTTTTGGGGCCCTAGGCTAAATGTCTAAGTTCAGTGGATTGAAGTTTCATTTGTCTTCATGGTCCCTCTGCCACCATGGGAGGAAGACAGACACCTGGGCAAGAAAGGTGCTCCAGGAAATCCCTTATTATACCATGGTCAAGAAAAGCCCTGTTCTTCCTGTAGTATCAAATCCTTAAGGTCCCCAAGGATCCTTGGGGAGCTGGGCCAAATCCTGCATTTATAGATAAGAAAACTAAAACCCAGGGGCTGGGGATGTGGCTCAAGCGGTAGCGCGCTCGCCTGGCATGCCTGCGGCCCGGGTTCGAGCCTCAGCACCACATACCAACAAAGATGTTGTGTCCGCCAATAACTAAAAAAAAAATAAATAAATATTTAAAAAAAAAAAAAAGAAAAATATTGTTTAAAAAAAAAAAAAAGAAAACTAAAACCCAAAGTGACATAATCATTTAGCAGCTGAGCTTAGAATGCAGGTACTGCCACTATTTTTTGTTATCTTCACTAAAGAGAAATAACTACAACTTAGATCTAGTAACAATTGAGATACCTACTAGGCTCACTTACCTTGTTGGAGAAGCATCCTAACAAACTTAATTAATAAAGGGCTGACTCAGGCTGTAAATTCATAAGGCCGTCACTGACTTCCAAAAAGCCGAACTTGATCCATTTTAGTATGACTCCTCATGTGTAGTTAAACTGTTTTTGAGAAATCCTCATGTGATGTGATCAATGCATAATATATGCAGGTGTGGAAATGTTACAGTGAGGGGCAAGGGTTGTAGCTCAGCGGTAGAGCGCTTGCCTAGTGTGAGGCACTGGGTTCAATCCCCCAAAAAATAAACAAATAAAGTAAAAGTATTGTATCCATCTACAACTAAAAAAAATTTTTTTAATGTTATAGTAAACCTCATTAATTTGTACAATTAATATATCTTTAAAATGTACATGAAGTAGATAATATCATACCTACAAAGCAGAAGAAGAAATCATTGTCCTCATATGGA